TGCAACAAGAGAGGATTCCAGCTAGACATTAGAAAAGACTTCTCCAGTGGCAAGGGCAGAGGCAATATATTAAATCGTTAGATATAATACAGTGTCCTGGCATTTCTTTAACTATTTTCTGCCTGACTTCCTAAAGTAAATCTAAACTAGCCCAGCTTCAATGCAGAATGTTTCCAATGTCACATAACTGTTACGTTACTTGTTTTCACTTGAAGCATGCAGCCATGGAGAGGAATCTCTTATTCATACGTTGCGTGTTCAGGAATGGAATCGTGGAAACAATTGCATATAGTATTAGGACAAATAAAAGTTAGCAAATAGGTAAATCCTTTGATCTAACTAGGAGAAACGCCAGGGATTCAACCTTTCAAATGTAAAATCCAGAAAGCAAGGAATAAATTAGCTATTATATGATGTTCACTTGCAAAAGTGAATAATGTTATTACCAATACTAGTAAGCAGATATACCAGAGTAGGGCATTATTTTCTCCCTTTCCTTAGAAAGCTTTATTGGCATCTTTACATCCTACCACGTAAACACAAACTCCTAGTATGAAGCAACAGTAACTAAAATAGTTCACATCTCAAGATGGGAGTCTATTAAAAAAAAAAAAAAAAAAGTCCATCTCATTTTGCCAAACGACTCCTTTGCTCAGCTAACAGGCATGTTCCAACACGAGTCCCAAGCTCCCACTTCTGTTACTCCCCACAGAGGCACAAATCGGCAGTAGTATCAGCACTCTCAAGCAACCTCTGCTAGTAGAAAGGAAGGCTGTTCTCCACCACACGTGCCTTGAGATCCACAGGTGCCTCCATAACATTAAGCATCCTTCCTCCTCAAAGCTTTTCCACTGCATCAGTCCAGTTTGTGTGGGTAAGACATCCCCTCTCACAGAGAAGTATAATGTAGGCTTTGTTTTCATCATTTCATGAACTGAGATGTAGAGAAATGTGTTCTTTTTGCATGTTTCCACTTATCAAACCATCCCTTTTCTCCACAAAGTATATAGTAATCATTAGTCCAGGGTATTTTCAAGAAGTTAGAGTTTTGACCATAGTACCATTCACACATAGCAAGACAAAAATTCAAAGCCATTTCTTACTTAAGGTGGCTCTCTAGTGTACAAAGAGTTTATTTATAGCCTGGTAGTAGGTAAACACTTCTGGTTTCTGCCATAAGGCTACTAGTTAGTGTCAGTTCTAAAGCTCAGGCTAACTCCTGAATATTAGATAACAAAATCTTTTTTCGTGATACTACTCCACAGAGGTCTAAATTCACAAGTAGAATTTGACCATTTGTATTAGTTGCAATGACAAATACATTTAAAAAAACCTTTTTAAACTCCTATATTATAAACTAGTAAAATACCACATTCTTAATTATCCACATGTACTTTTTTCCCCACAACAAATTACATTTCCTGTTTTGCTCAGTGGCTGATTTTCATTTCCTTGGAGGCTTATGAGTGGGCTGGGTTGTAGATGAATTAGTAGATTTTTCTTTTGTACTTAAAATGTATTTTGGACCGTAATAGCTTTAAAGCACACAAGACGTTGAAACGCAGTACTAAGATCAAACAAGAAAATAAGATGCAAAATCGGGAATTGGGCATCTATCACAGTACCTACCTAAGGGAGGTGTGTGCGCTCCAATGTGTCTTATGGAGCCTTCGCTTTTTCTTATTTATCCTACACATATGTAACGGGCTCCATCTTCTCTTTTTTTAGAGCATTATGTTCACATTTTGCCTGTCCCACAGATGTAAGCAGTGCAGGGGCCCAGTAACAGCCTTTTTATTTGTTGAGATTGTGTGAGTGAAGCCAGAGCAACATATTTGTATTACCACATCACTCAGTAGTACTTTTTTTTTTTTTTTTTTCCCAATCAGCAACCCAGGCCGTGTTCCCTGGTTGCCACCAGCACTGCTTCTGACCAGTTTTATTCTGTAAATAAACCTTCTCCTTCTGGTGTTCAACACAGCTATGCTCTTATATTCTTTTTTTGTTCTGTCCTTCAGCCTCATTTTTCCTGTTTCCTCATAGTTCCCATACTCCATGCTTGCTTTCTCCACCCCATGCAGATACACCCAACAACCATTACGTTGTCCATATCTGCACAAGGCAAGAACTGGTCTTCACCTAAAGTTCCCAGTTCAGATCTTGTGGGTTTCCTGTGGCAGATGGTGATGAATCTGCAACAACAGCATTTGTCACAATCGCTTTGGCTACAGTCACACGGATTTTCCTGCTCTTGTTTGAAAACTGCAGGTGCTACTGTTGGTGCCCTCCCTTTTCTGTTACCTTTCTTTAAGTGTTTGCTAGAGACCAACACTGATCTGATAGCGTATGCTTAGAACCTCCTTGTACCATAACAAGTAGTTTAAAGACTAAGGACGGCAACGTCACATAGGATTACATACTTCCATTTTGAAGATTTCTTCTAATTACTGTACCGACAAGTATTTATGTATTTTTAACGCTTTTAAGTTTCTACAATTACTTCAAATGAACAAAATAAAACTAGTGGCACAAACAATTTTACGCTAATAAACACAAGACTAGTGCAAGTATTAGGAATCTCAGGCTGAGCAGAGAAAATGAGCTTTATGTACTATAAAAAGCGTATGAAAAAAATTCTACCAGCTGCTTGTTGCCTAGAGCAGCAGAAATAATTATCAATATTTAAAGGAAAAGCAATAGAAATACTATTTCTTGCTTAAAAGTACGTGATAGGGCAAGAATAAATAAATATACGTCCCAAGGTCAAAGATTCTTTAGAAAATTCCTAATAAGCTAAAGCACACTGATAACTGAAATTTCCTTTGGAACTCAGGAAAATCCGAGTAAACTCCTCAAGATGTATTAGCCATACTAATAATACGTGTTAGAAAAGCTGAAAATACAAAATAAACTTGGAAACTTTAAATACAGAAAGAGAAAACTTAAATACTACAGTAAATATCCCATTCGTGTACACTATATTATATACCCATTTTTTCCAACTGTTCTTAAACCAAAATAGTATTTGGGCTTTAACTTAAGTATCGTTTCAAGTATTTTCCAACAATGGAAACAACAGCCCTTAACTGTGTTCTTTCTTATTGACACTAACATTGAGTGCACTCAAGAAAGGTCAGACGCTTTCATTTCAATAAAGAAGTGAAGCTGGAATTAAGATGTGGGTTTTGCATATTATGCAGTGAAGGAGGACCCTTGTTTTCTAGAAAGCATAGCTCAATCCATAATATACTACTTCACATGATGTGTTCAATCACCTCTGCTTGGTGACAGGTAACTTGGGGAAATACTTTCCTCCCAACTATTGGTTTGAATTCAATAGCCAGCCAGTGTCCTATGTCACTAGGGTGGCATACTCCAGCTTTATTAAGAGGCCATTCTGAGTTTTCCTTACCAGGGGGTCTCTGTGGCTAGCACCAGATGTAACTTTAAGAGCTTTATCATCTTCAATGCACGGGTCTCTGGTCTGATGCTCACATTAGAACAGACTTGCACCTGGGCGTTCACACTTGGGGAAGGGATTTTTGATGTTAGCACATGGGTGTCCTGCTACAAAATCCTACCGGCACAGTATTTGAAAGTTTATATTGATATTTAAGCCACTAAATTCTTCTCTTCTATAGATCAGCTTTTTCTTACAGAGTTTCTCTCTACCATCATGCACAGATAATGGCTAGAACCAAATCTGGAAAGCTGCAATATGCCTTCACAGTATCTTTCATTTGTGCTTTTTAGAATTGTTTCAGCTAATATTGCTGGTTGGGTTTGTGGTTGGTTGGTTAGTTTATTTTTTCTTTGCATTAGCAAAGGAAAACTAAAAATTGAATGAAAGAGGAGGAGGGAGTTGTATGGCTGCTACCCATGCTCTCAGCAGAGACTGCAGTCAATAGTCTGCAGAATCGCCGCTAAGAGATTCTCCACCTGCCACCCTTCAGCTAAATGCCAGCCTCATTTTCCTAGACTGATGCATATAACACAGACTATGTGAAATAAATAAAAAAGTAAATAGTACAACAACAGATTGATCAATACTAAAAATCTTGAGTCCTTTACAAGGGTTTCTGAAAATGAGATTTAGAAAACTGCAATTTAGCTGAGCACTGCGAATCTAAGGCCCACAGCTTTTGATCAGCTCTCCGTACAAAAGCAGGTGTAGAAGAGATGACAAATGAGCATCCAATCCACTCACCAGCTCTTCACCCTCAGTGGTGGCATATTCCCATTAGCATTAATAATGAAAAAAATATTCATTAGATTCTCAGTGTTTAACTTGTCAGTTGTACCGCACAGTGATCAGACCAAAAGCATGTTAATTTGTTTTTAAACATCATTTTTAAACATCACGGGTTAAATAGGGTACAGTAGGGGCATAAATACAGAAAATAAGCAAGAAAAATGCGAGAAAAGGAAAATTTACATCAGTTTCCCCTCTAAGGAAGGACATTTAAAAAAAAAAAAAAAAGGTATTTGTCCTATCTGCAAAGCCAGAAAAATAAATTACATTAATCTGTTCTGTAACATTATTACATTTCCTAATAGCTTTAAAAAACCCGCAAAACTAAATATGTTTAAATACTACTAACAAGTATTTCTGTATGCACCAATAGCTTGACTTCCAATGGATTATGTCAAGTCCGACTGACTTTGCATTCAAATGATTCTATTACAAACTATACTTAAGCCGTAGAAAATGTAGAAAAACTCAAAACAGCAGAGAATTCACTCTGATCGTGGGACAGACAGACACATATGTTCAGACAGACAATATGAAAGTTTTAACTGTGAAAAATGACATCAGCAGAACTCTACTATCAGAGAACCCGCTGGGTTTTTCTCCCCCACATGGACTTTTGGTGTCCATGAGATATGCAAGCTCCAGCTGATCTGCTCGCATGTAAGAGCGGTGTCTTTCACACGCGCAGTCCCTGTTGGGTAAGACATAGTGTGTTTTTTACTTCAAAATAAGGCCATTAACAGGTTGCCGCAGAAACACCTGAAATTGGGTAGACAGACTTGCAGCATTCAGTGGTCACCTGTCTAGAACATGTGGTTGCAGAAAACAAGCTCAGAAGCGACTGGAGCGAGGATGGATTTCTAGAGATGTAGACAAGCAGTGTGGAAACCTGTAACTTCGTACCAGTGATCTGGATACCAGTGTCACAGAAACGGTTTTGATTTCATTCCAAGAAACTATTCTGGGCAGAGTTAATAGAACGGGCAGCGAACTGAACCACTGCAGCTCCGACTGGGATTGTGTTCCCTCAGTTATTTGTAGGTCCCAGGGGCTGTATTTGTATCACCAAAAGTTACTTCTACTTGTTTCTTGTTTATACGAGTCCAGGTTTCTTCACTAATGGGGCCAATGAAACATCAAATCCTTCCTAGAGCCTTCAAGCCTTACCCTGACAGATTTGTATTACTGGACATCGTATCAACAGCTTCCTGACACCAAGCCATTAAGGCAGAAATTTGCAATCTGTTAATACTATCCTGGAGGTTTATGCACTTTTTGAGTTCACAGCTGCACTCACAGGAACAGGCTGAACGCACCTACGAGCACATTTTGAACAGGTAGAACTGTATTTTCCAAATCTGTCTACCTAAAATGCACCACCACAAAAAGGGACAATTTACAAAATTCCAGCCTTGATTAACAAACAAACCAGTAATTTAGCAGTCAGGCTGATAGGAACTAAACTGAGCTAAATGAGAAATGCACTACTGGATTTTTCCAAAGTTATTACCAGAATTCTCCAGTTTTATTTACTTTTTTTCAATATGATACATTCTTAAACACATGTATGCGAGTATAAAAATGATGAAATGCAATTTTCTTCTTTCTTTTAATCCACCAGATGTTACTACCATGAAAAGAAACACCAAGAACCAAGAGAAGTGCCTTGGAAACCAACAGGGAAATAGAACTTATTACCTTTATAACATATTCCATTGTGAACAAGAGATTTATTTTTGCAGATTGACAAACTACTTCCCATAATTCTTTTAACATGCATTTTGTATGTCGTCAACAGTTTGCAGATTGACATTCTTTACAGTAGCATAACTGCCAGTAGTACTTGATGCTCCATACTTAAAAAAAACCCCACACTTTACAACTGATGTGTAATGCTGCCAAAAATTATGTAAACAAACACAAATATTTCACCAAGAAAATTGATGTTCTATTGCTTAATTCTACAATTTTAAGGAATGTTTGTTTGTATATCTAGAACTACTAAAGATCTGCTCCACAGTAGTTGTGGTCACTCGATATCCTTCATGCTTATGCAATTTTTTAAAAGTTTGGTTAAAACAGACTTGCATTGGGGTCACATTGCACCCTAGGAGTACAAATTGCATGACAAACAGGAACGTAATTCCAAGTAGACGTATTTTTTGGGACAGTGGAGCATGGATTTTGTACACAAACACAAGCTGCCATTAATTTACTTTATATAATAAATGTATAAAACATTCCAGCGAACGTGCAATATGTAAATACTGTAAATAACAAGCGTAAGTAATAAAGTGTTTGGTATTACATTGTTCTCAGTTTCCTTTCTGTTCACTGAATCCAGAATTTGATGAACAAGCTACTTTCTGGTAGCTACTACTATTTATCCACACTTAAACCTCTTAGGAGTTTGGCAGAGTAAGAGAGAATGGTTCACCCACCTCACAAAAGTCCAGCAATTTGGACGCTCTGTGGATTTGTGAGGACGGACAGATCTGTGTGTTCCAGTCCTGCAAAATGCCCACAAGGCTGGTCCAAGTCTCTATCCCATTATAAATTTGAATAATCTTTTTTAATGACAAATGGTTGTTTGGTGGTGGTTTTTTGTTTTTGTTTTTTTTTCCCCCCAAAAAATCTGCAGCCTATTCATAATACTGCAAGGCAATATAATCAGTAAATGTCCAATAAATCATTTTAGTATCACAAGACTTTTGAATCAGTGAACGCTTACTCAAGAAGACTTCATACACATCTCCCTATCTTCCTTAAATCAGATATTAAATCCGGTTCTCACAATAAAAACCTCCTCAAACAGGAAGATTTTTATGTGCAATCTGTAGATGAACCTCAGGTACTTTTATCTTAATACTAGCATTTAGCTTCCATTTCATCCTCAATTCAAACCAGAAAAAGCAAAACCAAAACCAAACACACCCCTCCCCACCCTGAGAAATAGCTAGGAGCTGGGATTCTTGAAATTCACACTTAAGAGCCTTCAGCATCTAGCTCTTCGGGAGAAAAAAAGGAAAAAAATGGCAGGAGTACAAAATCCCATCCTAGAATATGGCTGTCCTTAGTAAGGGAGAAGTACATATTTTGTATTTGCTTTCAGTGATCCCTGAAGTTTAATTTCTCAATGGAAGTAATACACATACACCAAAAAAATTGGTAAAGGAATATACTGCTACAGGATTCTCTTAGCTGCTCATCTGCAGTAAACGTGGGTGGAACTCTGTGCTCCTCTCTGGTTCCACCGACTGAAATGAGATCACAGCATATTAATTGAACAGTATATTAGTATAAATCTGTCTTTTTGTAGTAGGACACCTGAAATCAGGTTAAATAAAAACTTCTTAGAAAGTTTCCTTGTAAAAGGAAAATAGTAATTTATTTAATGACTTAATAAATGAGTGTAAGTAAATTAATCCCATGAAGTTTTCTCTAGATTTAGCAGAAGTCGGCATGCTTTGACAGAAGATACAACTATACCATAGCACATTTTTTTATTTAGTCTTAGGTATAAGCTTACTACCTAAACTAAACTAAGCCATGGTGGGGGAGAGGGAGAAGGAGGAGTCAGTTCTGTATTTTTTCATTCAACATTACATTTTTCATGAGTGGTATTTTAAAACTGTAAGAGCTTATGTCACCCGTATGATACACGATTTGTGTAGTAATCCTATGTTCGCTGTTTCTCTTGGAACCCAAATAACAGCACTGTGCAACTGTCCTCCCTGAAGGCAATTCCTGTTCTGTATTCTTCTATTTTACAGAATCTTTTTAAATACCACGGTGCTCTCCTTCCCCTTCTCCAAACGAAACCCAGTAGGGATAAAATCAATCAGTCAATCAGCTTCTTCCTCCTAGTAGAGCTGATGAATTATTTAGCCAACAGATTACTTGCTGAAAATATACCTCAAGGCTGAAACTTAAAATCTGAACTGAATTTAGCACAAATAGTTTTGACTTAGTATCACTTTACAGGAAGATTCCTAAGCCTAGTGAAGGTAAACAACCATACCTTTTTATCTCCTTTCTGTTACCCCAGCAGCTCAAAGATAAAGATTTAAGACTTTTAAATCTTAACTTTAATATGTAGGAAACTGTAGGTTCAATTCCTACTCAGCCATGAATGGGAAAGCACAAACCATCACGTTCTCAATCTTCTGAGTTGTTTTACTTTCACTGGAATATTTTAAATGGTTATTCTGTCAGAGGAGAATGCTAGATTACACCTAAATACTTCCACTTCTGAGGTTAGTGCATAAAACCACATTTAAGATGGTTTGTCCCTAACTGCCCATCATTTTCCCACATTTATTCTGTCAAAGCATTCATAAAAGAAATGGAAAATAACTTTTTTCCAGAGTTGGTGCTTGATCTGACCTGGAATATTATATAGATTACTCTTTGTCCCTGAAGTGAAACAGCTATTAACTTGCAAATTTTATGTCCGAAATTTTAGCACAAAACAGAAACCTCATTAACACACACAGCTGTCCTACAGCAAGAGTCCCAGGAAACTTAATCCCCATTGCGCAGGCTGCAGCACACGCAGGGTGACACCAGGATTCCTCCCTCCCCAGGAATGACAGGGTACTCTATCGAAATGCACCCCTCTCCCAGAAGGGAGGGTGGGTGACAAATACAGAGGCTATTCTACTAGTTTGGAAGGCAGACAGAGGAAAAACCAGAGCTAAATAAATAAGGAGGTTTTACAGATCCAGTTTTACAGATAACGTGGTAATGCTAGTTCACACCAATGTTGGTGGTATTCAAAATAGGAAAATTACCATGGTATCAGTTACAATTACTGATCTCAGTGCATTTACATTTCTACGGCAGAAATGAAAGGTGGCGTTCAGACAAACAGGCATGGATTTTTACAAAGCATTCAATTTTTGTCCAATAACAGAACTTTCTACTTACTGGCTTTCTGTTAACTTTGTATTATATTACAGATGGCCTGTCTTCAGGTTGAACTATACTCTCAGAGAACACTTCTGACAGGCTATCCATTCTCCTGAGTAAATCTGAAAATACCGTCTGACTCCCACATAGGACCTGGGATTATAGCAAATTTCTTATTCATTACATTGCATGGATTTTAGTATTTTACTACTGTGAGATACAAAATGCGCATTTCACATTTAGGCTTTAAGCTGACCTGTTTTGTCCTCAAAAAGCAAATGCTGTGTTACACCTACTTGTATCAATGTGCTAGGAACTGACCAAAGGAAGACTAGCCAGAGAACTCCTATCAACATCAATCACTACTTCTGAACTGAGTTTACCTTAATAACAATCTACCAGCACAAAAACTGTTTCTTCTTTGAATAACTGAGCATCTAAACTGATATAAACCCCCATTTTCACAGGATCCTGATGACACACTCGGAGGTTTTGCTTGCTTAAGCTTTGAAATAGTGCTAAAAGCAATGTCTGTCTGGGGGCTGGCAGTTCTTTTAGTCTAGCAGCCTCAATATGAAACAGCTTCAGTCCAAAGACTGTCTAATGACACTAGGATAGCACACCTAAGTTACTGTACGTGAACTATTATCTTGCAGACTACCATTGAAAGTTGATTTAAATTAACTCGCTATGGGCACAATGAGAAGACCTCAGTTTAGTTAGCATAGCACATAAAGAAGCAAGACGTTACTTTTGCAGTGCTTGTGAGAAAGCACTGGAAGAGTTTACAGATAAATTTATTCCGAATGATATACTTTATTATTACATTGATGTGTGACAAAATGGTTGTTCATCTAATCCAATTAAAACTTTTCTGTATTTTTTAATTAGATGACAGAAAAGCTAAAATAGAAAATTAAATTGAAAAAGTTTTGAACCTATTGAGGCATATTTTTACAATTTAAACAGATCAATCAAGTAAACCTTAGGTATTTCAGGCAAAACTGATTATTTTCTTTTAGAAATAAAATGATGAAGCATTAATGAGGCTTCTCCAAAAATGCTTTACAGCATCTAACACACTGCTCGTAAACAGTTTCAAAGTCCTTTTCGTTCCCCTAGAAAAGAGCAGAGGAAAAAGAATGTAAGAATAGCAATACTGGATCAAACAAAAAGTTCTTGCAAACTAGTTTCCTGCTGTCAGTGATGGCAAATAACTGACATCAGGAAAGAATAAGCATAGTATACTTGGTGATAGTTTTTGCATATTTCTCCCGAATTTGAACTAACTGCAGCTCAGGAACTTCCACAGCCAAACACTGTGACTTTGTACTCAACAGTCCTGAATGAACTTCCCTTCACATATTTCTTCCATTCACTTTTTGAGCCCTTATAAGCCTTTTGGTTTTTTTCTTTACATTCACAGTAAGTTGTCATGTTGAGTTTCACAGTTTAATGAAGCACAGTGTGGAAAAAACAAACCCACCTGTTTTTGTTTTGAGCCCGCTTCCCACTAATGCCATTTGGTATTCTCTGCTTCTTGGGTAATGAATAGCAATTCCTTAACTCACCTTTTCCCATGATATCAAGATTTTACAGAACCCTACTGCATCTTCATCCACTTCTCTTTCCTACACTGACGAATCTTAATCTAATTGGTTGGTCTTGGCTGATATTGGTCAACATCTTTGACCATCTCTGTCCATGTCTTTTTCTCTCTCTTTCCCGATTACAACCTCTTTGCAAGGAGGCTGACCAACCAGGGCTTCACCCAATATTGAAAGTATAGGTGTGCTGCATTATTTAAATTTTACGAATTGTTATAAGCATAAAGATGTGTTTTCCTTTCCTACTCCAACAGTTTATATTGTTTTGTTAAGTCATTTAAAAAATCATTTTTACACTTGGCTTTGTATAACAGCAGATTATATGTCATGTGTAAACTGGAAAGATTATATTCTATACATACACAATTTTTAATTAAGCCACCCAAAAAATTTCTTACACATACATAGTATGGATCTTCGATGATAAGTTGTTTCTGTGGATCATAACTTCCAAGTAGTTCAATTTTGGCCTTGCAGTCTTTAACTTGGTTGCTCTTCCTTTTCAGATCTCTGTAAAAGAGAAAATAAAATTTTCCCATGAATTTTTCTTCACAACTTTTTTGGCATTAGCATGAAATGCTCATGACTGTTTCTAGAGAACACAGGAAAATAATATGCATCTGGACTCAGTCAGTTCTGTGGACTCTCTATGCTGCTGCTTGTTTTCATTTGTTTCTTGTTGTGTGGCTTTTTTTTTTTTAATTGAGCATGGAAGACATATACATAAACTTAATTCAGAGCATAAACAAGCAGTCAGGCGCTCAACCTAAGGCTTATGGAACTTTGTAAGTTCATCTACTTCTTCCTTAAATCAATCATTAGTACTTTGAATACCCACCTTTAGCTTGAACAAAAATAATGAAAATTATCTAGATATTTTTCCAGAAGTATGAGTAAACCTCTGCCATCTGTTCAAAACCAGTGTTTTAAATTGGTATGCTGCAAGTTCTCCCAATACTGCCTCTAACTCATGTGAAGTCCTGCTACATTCAGCTAACAGAAAATGGTAAATCGGTGAGCAAGTGTGGTCTTCCCTTTGACATACTATAACATTTCATCAGTTGTCACATCCTCTTCTACATTGCCTCCCATTGATAAAACATACTGGTTTTGAGATGGTATTTTCCCCATCTACTTAAAAATGTCCGTCCGTTATCCCAAACGCAGTTAAAATGTACCTCTCATCACCTTCAGATTAAAAGCAGCTCAGCACTATGATTTTCACAATGCTGAACAGCCAGAACTTGTTAAATTCTTTTAATATTACACACCTCCATACCAAATGATCATTTTACTTACCCAGCATTAAAAAAAAGGGCAAAAGACCCTGTAAATACTTAGTCATAAGCATAATCAGTTTTAAGAAATTAAATTCAAATTATTAACTAATTCTGATTAGGAAATTAATTTCAGAGAGTTTAGACAGACAAAATAGCAGTGAGACCACAATAGTGTTTTTCCTTGAAAAAAACATCAGGAGTCCTCTATCAACTAAGAAGCTATTGCTTGAATTTACAGACTTTCAATAAATTCTCTAGGCTTTTATTATTAAAAAAAAAAGTCTATCCACTTCCTTCAAGGCTTTTGGCATACCACTTAATGAACAGGAGAGAGCCAGGTGGCTCTGGTACTAAGGAAAAGGGATGTCCCAAATTTTCCTTTTCTGGTATGACAGGCACTCCATCAACACATCAACATCAATCAGTTTGCCCTCCCAGTACTAAGAATAGGTGTTCCCAGGGAAAATGGTTGAACTGGGTGCAAGGTTAAGGTCAAACTTAAGTGTAGCAGTAGCAATATCCCTATTACAGTTCTGACATTTCTTCTGCCCTGCAGCTCATATCATATAAACTGTCAATACAGAAGTTCAGTTTTCATTTAAGAATTCAAATGAGAACAGAAGTAAGCCTAATCACATCTTTGCCTGACATTCTGCAATCAAGCCAAGTGTTATGTACCCTTCATTCGTGCAGGCTGTGTAAGAGAGGTCATTCAAAACATTCTAGAAAATTCAACAAAATGATACTTCTTTCAGTTAAGTGGTGCTGCTTCTAGAAGTCTTTACATGCTGCTAATAGGGTTTTATTTGGTTGGTTGTGGTGGTTTGGGTTTGGTTTTTTTCTTAAATTAACTTTACAAGGAATAGCCCTTATAAGCACTTTGACACTTGTAGTTTATTAAAGCTCAGCCCCTTAACCCCAATCATCAATATGTATGTAATTAAGTAGAAATTTTGCTAATTATATCCAAATTTTCTTGAGCATCTACTTCACCAAATCTTTCTTAAGCATAAATTGTCTCAAAGACGCACTTAATTAGAACATGGCTAACAGTAGCAAACAAGATTTCCCCTGGCTAACAATTTTACTTATTTCAGAGCTCATTCTATTTCTATTAAAAAAGGAAAAACCCACACCATATGTAACCCCTTCCAAGTTTCTACACTGTGTGCCAGATCCCATGCAATCAGAAAAACAGATCACTGATCAAAAGACAGTACATCCTCATTCTTAACTATACAGGCAACAGCTGCACATCTATAGCAAAAAGTATACTAAATTTCCATGTCCTTAATCATTGAGTGGCATCTATCACACAAATAAACCACTAAATTCCAGCTCATTAACGTATTAGAAGAATCCAACTATTAGAATATCATTCACACAAACATACAAAAAAACACAAAACCCAAAAAAACCCAAGACAGGCTAAGCAGTAAAACATGACAAATGTCTTCAAAGTGACTTACAAGACACCCCTACAAATAATCCACATTAATTTGTTCCATTTCTTCATACTTTACCTTAGATTGCTCTCATCCATACATAGTATATAATCAAAGGTCTGGAAATCATCTTTAGTAACCTAGAATTAAAAATATTTGCTTTAGCCTACAAACTGTATTTTATTTATAAAAAGGGGAAAAAGTTATTTTCAAATTTTGTACTTCTGATATATTAAAAGAGACACAGGTGGGAATAATAAAGCAGTATACCTTCATCAACTTTTACAATGATTTAATGCATTTAAAATATACTCTGCCATGATTATTTATCCATTTCTGCAAGTTTTCCACAAAAAACCCGAAGTTAGCTGTTTTACCAATACTTTTTTTTTTAAACATCTCATGATGAACTTAGAAACATCATTACAAATGACATTTCTAATGCTTTCCAATTACTAAAACTAAAGCAGGTTTCCAGTCATAGAAACCATGCAATAAAAATGTAGACAAATTACTTTCCTGATAGGAAAATAAAAACATAGATAACCTGGAATCAGTTGCAATACTTCCAATCTAGAAATTTGTCACTACACAAAAAAAGATACCAAGTGAAATTCAAAGCTGAAGTATGATGGTATGAGTTACAATCTCTTAAAAACAAATGCATTCACAGTAATTTAAGCCATGTAAGTTCAAAAAATTTATGATATGAAGTAGAAAAAAGTCTGGGATCTACTGTACATCTTCCTACCGTCATACTACCTGTTCTTTTTCTTTCCTGAAGTTTACGGACTCCTATACTCAAATATTTGCTAAATTCAGAGATTCGAATTCAGAGTCGGGTAGGCAAACATTGCAGATAAAACACTAACTTAAGTACTAATGTTACCTGTATTGGAGTAAGGATGGCTGCAGATTTTTATCAGTATAACTGTATGTTAGTTTACATTTAAGCCTCAGCTTCGGGTAAAATCTTCCCAGACCCCACAATGCACAGTATGCTAGTATAAGATATCTGAACCAAGTATCCACACTAAGGATGAATAAATGGAATAAAACCTATAGTGAGTTCACATTAAGACGGCATTTCACACGTAGCCCTATGCATAGTATCATAATCAAGAAACTTGGAAAGCTTGTTCAGTACAGGTTTTTTCTGGTAGGCATCTCTGGGAAGATGGGCTAGAGAAGTCAGTAAGCAAGTCAACGGACAAAAAGGCAAAACACATTATCCTGGAAGTCAGTTTTAACTTGAAAAAATTATTTACATAATCAAAAAAAGTTTCAGGTAGGAAAAAAACCACTTTTTTTTTTTTGATACTGATTAGGCTCCTATAACAGGGAGTAAGAAAAGACCTACAGCTATTATCACCAGACTAAAGCCATAAACGACACATTCCACACAAGGAGAACTGGATGGGTGAAGTGTGGGGGTAGAGCATTTGAAAAGAAAGGGTTAATGGTGAAAACTAATGCAGACTTGTTTATTTTCACTGTAAAAATATTTGCTGTATTCATGCAGTGCCTTTGACCTATGAAAATATTTTTGCAGTGGAAATAGTTCTGTTTTCCTGGCAACTCTAAGCAGTACCTCTACAAGCTGCTCCTGGTTGCTCTACACAGCTGAACACTGGCCCCTGTGAAAATACATGAGCACAGATTTCTTTGTAGTACAGACATATGTAAGAATAAAATCAAAACCAGTGAAAAGGAAAAATACACCTGCCACACTTCCCACACTCTCAGTACACTTGACAACTTGACAAGTTATTATCCTATGAACCAGCACTAACACAGATGCAAATGCAGCCCTAAAAACAAGATTACTGGTTGGCTTATGCTCTTAAGCCCTACAGTAATTTTAGATACAAAACCCTTGATTGAGCAAACTCCAGTGAACTGACAATAGTCCTCTAAACTATGAAAACTAGTATTTTGGGGGAAGAAATTGAGGACATAAAAATTTATGTACATTTTGACAAAAGTAGCAGAGAGCTTATGTAGTCAACATTGGCTGGAACTACGCAGACAACAATAACTGTAGATTAAAAAAAATACATATAGCCATTATTAAAAACCATCAATGGAGAAACATATCATCATGCCAATTCATTTGTTAAACATTTCCCTTTGTTTACAGAAGGGAAATCTCCTTTTCTCTGTCTAAAAACCAGAGATGCATAGTCCTCAAATTTATCCAGTCTTGAAACAGTGTTTAATACAACCTTCCTCCAATCTCAATTTCATATTTAAGGCAAAGGCACAGTATGAGTCATACAGAAATCAATTTTGGCCTCAGCATGAATAAAAGTGAAACTGATTAATACCTATCTGTTTTGTGCATGAAGACTAAGAGCTTAGAGAATTTCAATGGGTACATAAACATAAAGCAACCTACCATCAACTAAAATGTTAACAAACTTTATTTTATATATAAATACATACATTTATTTTTACACTTCACTTTTCACTTAAAATTCACTTAAACCATCACTGTATACGATGGTAGGATGCAACCAATTTAACATTCTCTCTTACATAAATCATTCTTGTAGCATTTATGTCAGTTTTGAATAAAAAAAAGATAAAATCCGTGATTATCATAATTATGCGCAAAATTACATGAAAGAAAGTGCTTTTCACTGGGTGGGTAACAGTTTTCCACAGGAGAGAAGAGGATAATTGCATGAGGTAGTCATCTTATGACAGTATTTCGAAGGCAACAGAAGACAAATCCCTCTTATTTCTGCAGCTTCTGTATTAAATCTTTCTTAATCTGTTCTGAAACAAGTCATAAACAAAAATCTATCCTTGTCTCTAATAGTGAAACAAATACACTTCCACTTGTACTAACCTGACCACTCTGAAAAGTCCTATTCTACACTGTCAAGTCCCTCTCTTTTCAGAAGTACTATGAGACCATACCAGGTCCACTCAGTTTAGAGAATCAGCAGAGACCATTTGACAGAAATTTGAAAAAAAAAAACCAAAACAAAAAACCATATTGGAGTCACGAAGTTAACATCAGTGCAAAATGAACAGTTACCTGTGGTTCAGGGATTTGAAGGTTGTTTTTATAAAAGAAACTGCTTGCACTGGGATATTTTAGACAAATTTTCATCCTGTTAGTATTTCATTTTATTGTCTCATTCTTGTTAATTTCCTCTCCCTGTATATGTAACATTTTAGGCTCTTCTGCTTTAAAAAATCTCTTCATTTACCAGAATGTATAAGCAAATGTCTTCATTAAAGTATTTTCATTCCCCTTCTGCCAAAGAAGGATATATAGATTTGTTTCAAGGCAGAGGATCAACTGGATGCTTTACTTTAGTTTAATTGCTCATAAACCACTCTAGTACTACCCAAGAACAGTTCTCAAGTTTCCAAGGCTTCTCTTTTAAGAATACAAACATGTTCCACTACTGTGACTGAAATACTGTCTGATTAGTTTGAGTAGCATTTAGCTTGTATAATGCTAAATAATGCTGCTTGTAAGCACTGATAAATAGGAAATCCACAACATGTAACAGGAAAAGATCACAACAGATTTTTTCTAGCAATTCTTCTAATAGTAAAACACTGAAAATCTGGAACGCTGTTGTGCTCAGTCCTGTTTGTCTTATTATATAACAGAGATTAGCATCAGGAAAGGTCAGCAGAGGGCAATTGACTAATTGAGGGGATTTATTTTAAAAAGTTAAAAAACTAAACATGTAGTCTTTGAAAGTGAAGAAAGTAAATATGACCTCTGTAAGGTCTAGTAAAATTCTGAAGGGAACAGAAATGGAAGATAATAACAAGACTACTTCATCTTTTGTCAGTACAAGAACTAGTGGCATAAACTCAAGCTAAGCAAAGGTCAAGCCCTAAAGGAATATCTTATATCCAGAGAACAGTTAACTGAAGTAAGTTTTGTACATTTATTTGAGCATCTGAATGATTTAAATAGATGGAGACACATTTTTTCCAATCTTTCTGGAGTGAAGCATGGAAATACAGATTTTTTTGTTAATGAAAACTGAGATGAATTTTGGTATAACTCAGAGGATTTCACTAAGTGAGAAACCTCAAGGATCCATGAAGGGTATGTTTTCCTCTGAAGTTACCACCAACCGTGCTACTAATCTTGGGGTTTAGCATTCTAGATTTTTTTAAAAGATCTTCATGCAAGAGCAGAAACTTTTTGTGATGGGTAAACAGGTATTCTACTTCTTTACGAAGCTGCTAAATAAAAATACAATTCCTTGCTGAAAGAAGCACCACAGATTACTAGAGCAAGTCCATTTTTAAAAGGTATAAAAAAAAAAGTTTCAGAAAAATGCCCAAAATACTAAATATTTGAAGGTAGGATTTTTCTGTAATGCAGAAACTGCTCCAATGCTTCCTAGTTACACTTCCAACGAGGCTCAATAACAAGAAACTTGCTAACCTCAACTAGAAGAGTTAGACTACTTTGGAGTCCTTTGAAAACTGCACATGGTATTTATTACTTGATGCTTAACCATGCATTGATCAAATGACTTCTGTGATTGCAATGGTTAGGACTAAACAAAGCATGGATATGAATAAGAACAAAGATATACGCTTTTCTACCTGCCGTGCTTTATGTGCTGTCTCAATGCCATGATTTCTTAGACAGCTTAAAGCCCTTGCATCTGGGGAGCGCCCCACGTTCCAGTCTGAAACAGCAGCACTGTCTGTCATCCACTGTAACAACAAAACAAATACATACACATATTTAAAGAAAATTAAAGTACAGTACCTGCCTGGCAATATGATTCATGGTAATGCCATGCTTCTTCATGCAAGTCTGTCCTCGATAGTCAGGAGGGCTTCCTATTTCATAGGTAGATGTTGCTGCACTGTCTATCCTCCACTACAGAAAAACAAATTTATATTTTTATGTTTCTTTTCTCACTGCTTGTATTTCTACTAACTGGCTAAGAGGCAGGAACAGAAATAAATAGCTTACCTTATTTTCAACTTTTTCATCAGTTACAAGTTTTCTAAAAACTGCTTCAGCTATTGGAGAGCGACAAATGTTTCCTATAGAAACAGGAAATTAAAGTGAAATTTCAGATTATTAAAACCAAAAACATCAATAACTGTGTGGATCTGTCAGCACAGATCAGATTAAAGATTTTTATTTACTTAGGTAGAATGTGGATTGCTTACATTATTACAACCCAAGAGATTCTGCAAGAGTGGAAACCCAGAGTCCTGCACCTGGGCTGGGCAGTCTCCAGTATCAGTACAGGCTCAGGGATGAAGGGATTGAGAGCAGTCCTGAGGAGAAAGACTTGGAGATACTGCCGGGTGAAAAATTGGGTATGAGCCAGCACTGTGCTCTCACAGCCCAGAAGGCCAACCATACCCTGGGCTGCATCAAAAGCAGTGTGGCCAGCAGGTCGTGGGAGGTGATTCTGCCCCTCTATTCTGCTCTGGTGAGACTCCATCTGGAGTACTGGGGTCCTCAGGTCCAGAGGAAGGCCACAAAAATGGCCAGAGGGCTGGAACACCTCTGAGTGAGAGCTGGGGTTGTGCAGCCTGGAAGAAGACAGGACTGGGGGGATCTTAGTGCGGCCTTTCAATATATAAAGGGGGCTGTAGTGACAGGACAAGGGTCAATGGTTTTAAACTGAACAAGGGTAGATTTATATTGGACGTAAGGAGGAAATTTTTTTATCATGAGGGTGGTGAGACATTGGAGCAGGTTGCCCAGAGAGGTTGTGGATGCCCCACCATGGGAAGTGTTCAAGGTCAGGCTGGATGGGGCTTTGAGCAACCTGATCTAGTGAAAGATGTCCCTACCCATGGCAGGGGTTTGGAACTAGATGATCATTGAAGGTCCTCTCCAACCCAAACCATTCTATGATTCTATACTACACATCAGTCTCTTGAAATGCATATTATTATATGACAAGATATAACTTATTAAAACAAATAGGAGTATTGTGTAAGCACATTGGTCTTTTCTCCTCCACAAAGAACCCATGATCACAGAAAACCAGGCAAAATTATGGAATTTAAATGGCAGCAAATCATCTTTATCTTCAAATCTTGCTACACACCGGCAAATTTAAACTAATTCTTTATTGGAGAATCATGAATATTTGCCTTAAGTATTTCCATTACTACCTACCTGTTAACAAAAACTTTTGGACAATTCCAAAACACAGCCACCACCACTGTGGAAGCAGCATAGTGAAATGGCTGAACAACCTATAGCAGAAATGCTCCTAACCAGTGAAGTGAAGTCACTGCAGGTCAAACTGAACCCCCGTCAAGAGCAGCTTCCAGATACCAACCCCCCCAAAAAGAAATCAATCACAGAAGCTCTAAAAACACCTTAGGAAAAGAAATTTTCCAAATTTTGGGGAGTCCAAAATATGGAGGATTAGGAACAAAACATAACTGGTGGCAAAGCTGAAGTGCTGTCAATCAGCCAATGAACAGTTAAGGTACGTAATTATATAGATTTTATCAGTGTTCCCTTTCAATGGCCTCCAATTGCACTAGCCACTTGATCTGACCTTATTTTCAATAAGAACCTATTTCAACAATGAAATAATGCCCTGATAAAAACTAGAAATAATGGATCTACAGCATTTTTACTCCACTGCTGAAGCTGTAATTAAGGTAACGACCTAAGGTAGACCTCTCAAACATGCATGCAAAAATACATACTCTCTGAAAAAAAAATGAAATGTCTCAACAACAATAAAAGTCTATTCAACTATTACTTGAACTCTTTCTACCTTTTCATCCTTCAGAAATTCTCAGTAACTGGACGGATATTCATAATATTTGATACGTCACTCAGATGCACAATAAATCATACAAACAATTCTTCACTTTCCGTCAAAGAGAATGCATGACTTTGCTCATCTCTGACTTTTGAGCAGATAAGTATAAGACATCACAAATGGCAACACTCATTTCTATACCTTTAAATAAATCACTCTTCTACCACTGGTTAAATTCTTTCCAAATTTCAAACAGTAAAAAAATGAAATGCCCATGAACAAAGCTAAATTTCTGGCATCAAAAAGAAATTTTTAGATCAGGCACTTAGCCTCATTTTCATGCCTATATTTTCAAACAAAATATCAAGGTAGATACTTCACTGCTAAAAAGATAGAAGCTGCTATGATCTGGGCATTTAATAATGTGCTGTCAATCATGCCAATTATAAAAAAAAAAACCAAAGTGGTAAATGAACCACTGAAGTAATACAAATTTGTTGACAAGGATTTAGAGAACATCAAATCACTAAATGGGCAAAAGGAACGGGCTAGCCGTTGAGAAACTGATCTTGCTGAAACATTAAGTGAATTTTGATGGCAGTAGATATGCTTCCAGGAGAAAGCATACTATTTCCTTTATTTGAACTAGTTTATTCCAAGCAGAGGAACTAAATCAGTCTTGGAAAAAAAATAAAGCAGGAAAAAATTGGCTTTATTTATAAAGTAAGTGAGAAAACAGATTAGTACTTACTAATTATAAAAAAAAGTTAAAGAATATGGTAATAAATTAAAAAATAAATCTCACTTGTTTAATTGAGTAAGCAAGTTAAGCATTAAACAATATAATTTTAATAGGAAACAGAGGGAACATGGTAACATACAACATAAGACAGAAGAGAACCTTCATAATCAATGAGCCCAATCCTTTGCTATCGCAGGCATATACAGCACCACCTCTCTTACAAACACATTGAGCTCTCTTTTAAAAAGCACCATCTATCTTAAAAGCCTATTGCAGATACTCATTTCCTGTGGTAGCCAGAAACCTTCCAGTTCCCACTTAATATTCTTGGAAGTCTATGCTCATCTGGTGTTGGTTAACATCACTCTATCTTAAAACCCTTTCTTTCCTTCAACAAATACAGAACCCATGTCAAGCGTAGCTGTGCTAAACTAAACAAACCAAGCTCTTAGTCTCCTCATGAAAATAACTGACCCTTACCTAATCGCTCCAGTTAAGCCAACTCTGCACTTGTTCCAATTTGAATTTATTTTTCTTGAATACTGACAAATAAAACCACAGATTACACGGCAGGAAAAGTTTTTACCGATTTGTTTTAGAAAAGAAAGTCTGAAATATTTACTTAGCTCTTTCGAAAATAACCTGAGGTAACTTCTACAATCACATTTGACTCCTTCATGAGTATCAAATTTGCAATCATAATCCCCTACTTCTAATTTGTTCATTCCCTCTCTTTCTCTGTTATTTCAAACAGGTGACCTTTTAGTCTTCTTCCTAAACTATTAATTCTGTTTCCATTACACCAGCTGTTGAGGCCATCCACTTCTTCCTCTATGATATTCTTCCTCTGTATGAACGCAGCTCTGCATGAACAGTAAGTTTCATTACTACACTCAAGATTTCTGTAATAAGCAGTGATTAGTACTATTGGTCCTACTAATTCATTAACTAACTCCCAGAATATCAAAATGGTACTTCTGAAATAAATCCTTCATGGCTTTTTCTATTTTTTTTAACCTTCTGCTCTACCTGGATTGAATGACTTGTTCCAAATTTTCACTCTTCTATAACCAGCTCACTGCTTAAAATAAATGCCATAAATATCCTCTTTGATGATATCATATCAAATATCATCATGAACGGCACCACAATCTGACTGATTAAATATATTAACTACCACTTCTAGCAATAGCTAGAAACTGCAGTTATATTATTTTCAAAACAAACACATAACCTAGGTTGTAACTTAAAAATTAATGTCTTCCATGACGACACATTCCAGATATTACTGGAGGTATTAACATTATCACGGAACTGCAATCACCATTCAAATCTATTCTTGGGGACTATGGACGGAATCCCAGAACTGACTTAACAGGAGTTCTTTTCTCCGCATACTCTATTATTTTCATCCTAACCAACTCTGTTTACCCATGCTACTCCTTTCAACTGTTACAGTTCATCTCATCTTTAATGTAAAGCCCTATCTTACCTCACTGACATATGCAAACTTCAATCCTTGTCTTCCAGTCATTGTCCCCTTCTCACTATAATATCTATCAATTTCATATCTAGTTTTACATCCCCCATTTGTCTTTCCAGGCTTTGTTGAGGTTCCTCACAGATGCACAGTATTTCCTAAGTTATGGATTGACAGACATAATTGGAGAATCTCACAGAAAGATTCATAGGAAGATCACCTTCCTCCTTGGACTTGAACAGTATTTTCCTTAAATGTTATCTACACCTTATCTTTGCTACCTATCCTCCTCTGGTGTTCCATTTCCCTTTGTTTTATTTCTGACTGATCTGATCATGCTCTTTGTATGTAGAAGGTAATGCTATTAAAGATCTCCGAATCTCCATCTTCTCCCTTCATTTTTAAAATTTCAAGTTCTTTAAGTTGTAGTGACATTTTCAGTCATAGAAAACTAGTATCCAAGGTACCCAGACAGAGTCTGTCCATTGAAGTAAGTCCTACAAACACCTCAAAATATGATGATTCAAGGGTAAGAGACTTAAATTTCAATCACAGAATCAGTACTGGAACCATTTGTTGATCACTTTTACGGAGTTATGCTTTTCTGATTTATTTTCTAGGGACAAGGGCTCCACTGACGGTTCTCCGAGCCAGTGCTTAATTTTTTGAGTTCTTACTCCAGTCTCTGCATTAATTTTTGATGCATTCCCATGGAAGCGTTGCTCCTACTGACAGGAAAGAAAACATTTCATGCTCGGGTCCATAGCTCATCTCTAGGTACTGTTGATCTAATCATCTATTCTCTCAATCGTTTTTGTATCTTCACTGCTCCTTATTCAGCGGTCTAACTCTCTGAGAGCTTCCCCTAATGCAAACAGATGCTTTTCTCTTCTTCCTTTGTTTTCCTGTCTGTTCTTTGTAACAGAAGTTTTATTAGCTTTCATCTTCTCACAGTAAAATCCTGCTTTTAACTCTACTTATCTTTCCATGCCCTGGTCAGTTCATCTCAGTGACTGCAATACTGCTTCCCAGTATCATTTGCATCATCCATCAGATCCCCTTCATAAGCAAGCATATCAAACTTACTACTCACTCTATTCCATTCTGTACTCAAATTCCCAGCTGAACTTCATCATGATTCCTAGTTCTTTCCAGTTAAGTCTATCTTGTCACACTCAGCATTCAATTGGCTTTGTAAGGAACCATTCAAGGCTCTGATTTTAGTCCAGATTCCCTGTCTTTTCATTCACAGTCAATTTCACTGAATATTTACACTCTTTAGATGAAACACCTAAGTATATAGCTACCTAAGTGTCATCATCTGGCTTCCATATATCCTGCCACTACCAACACACACTGGGATGTCTCTCAGAAGCTGAGTATTAGCATATGTGTGTGTATATGTATATCTAAGCAGAACTTAATTTTTGCTCAAGATATCTAAATGGGGATGTCTACAGGAGCACTAGGTTTCCAAGTCCCTAGCCAGTCAAGGTGTAGTCGATATAATCAATGTCACATTTTAAAAATTTTTCCCTGCAGCAAGATTAATTATACTGAGTTATCAACTACTAGAACATTATGCTTTTCTCAGCAACCTAAAGACTCCCCAGTAAAAATAAGTTTTCAACACATAAGCACCTACTCGCAACAATCAGACTGAACATTTTTAAGCATACATCTTATTTTCCAATTCCAAGACTGCTTTTACAAGCATGCTTTCAACTCTCTAGTACTTCCACATCATTCTGAAACACAGATTAAATAAGGCATCTTACCAATGCTGCACAGAAGAAAGGTATTTTCCTTACATTTCTCTAACATTGTCTTCTTTATTCAAAAAATGGCTTTATTTCTTTTAGTCAGCTTGCTAAGAACTGTTATTACAGCAGCTGTTTTCCATGACTTCTTCAATGTCTTATCCAACCTACTGCTTTCCCATTCTGCAGCTACAAACGGCATTTTGTCCCACAAACCCTTGTATTTGGCTATATGTAAACGCATATAATGGATTGAGACAACTGAACTAGGAAACTCACCTCTCTCTGTAACTGTAACCTAATTTTCTCATCCCCAATAAATTAACTGCCATTTTAGAAACGACTTTATGCAGTCAAGGTGTCTGATGGCACTACTCCTACTCAGTGGTTCACAACAAGCATCAATTTTCTGAGGACCAGCCAAAACCACTTTGCTTACTGCTCACCTGACTCACAACTGTTCATCTACACATGGAAGAGATCAGTATGCCAGTGCCTGGTCCAAGATGCCCATGCAGCTTTTTATGTTATAGTGGACAAGTCATCAGAGAGAAAGAGGCTAACTTATGTAACACAGCATCACATTAAGATCATTTGTGGAGCTCAACCATTAATTAGATGAGCTACCTAAGTGTAAAAAGAGCAAACTGCATTATGGTTCACCTTCAGTTTTAATTATTTCTTTGCCTTAACTGAAAAAAAAAATCTTTCCCGGTGCCTTTTTATATACTGTAATTACATATGTTGCTGGGTGCTTCGTTTATTTCTCAGTGATGAGGAACCCTTATCGTTAACATAGTTATGCACATTAACTAGATTGTATTTTGTTGTGTAATGAATATCTGCTTATCTCATTACAAACAAAGAACACAGTCAATACATATTTCAGTAATAGGTTTCTTTCAAAATAATGTAGAAAGAAAATGTAATTTTTCATAAACGCTTGGACTTTTGGGGATCAGCTCTCACTGAATGTGGCAAACCAGAATTAACGTCCTTCATTAACCAGCACAGAACACTACAGATAAATACAGCTCTAGAAAGATTTAGTACTCTTTTCAGCAACAACCATTATTTCTAGTAAAATTTAGGAGTAAAAAATCTATTATTGAATCAGAGAATCATATAATTGTTTAGGTTACAAAAGAGCTTTAAGATCATCAAGTCCAACTGTTAACCTAACACTGCCAAGTCCACCACTAAACCATGTCCCTAAGCACCACATCTACATGTCTTTTAAATGCCCTCAGGGATGGGGACTCGAGCACTTCCCTGGGCAGCCCGTTCCAATGCTTGACAACCTTTTGGGGGAGGAAATTTTCCTAATGTCCAATCTAAACCTCCCCAGCACAACTTGAGGCCATTTACTCTTGTCCTGTCACTTGGCAGAAGAGACCAACACCCACCTTGCTACAACCTCAGTTTTAGGCAGTTGTAGAGAGCGATAAGGTCTCCCCTCAGCCTCCTTTTCTCCAGGCTAAATAACCCCAGTTCCCTCAGCCACTCCTCATAGGACTTATGCTCCAGACCCCTCACCAGCTTTGATGCCCTTCTTTGGACACGTTCCAGCACCTCACTGTCTTTCTCGGCCACCTGGGCACACTGCTGGCTCATATTCAGTTGGCTGTTGACCAGCACACCCGGATCCCTCTCTGCCAGGCAGCTTTCCACCACTCTTCCCCAAGCCTGCAGTGTTGCATGGGGTTATTGTGCAGGACCTGGCACTTGGCCTTGTTGAACCTCATACAGTTAGCATAGGCCCATCGATCCAGCCTGTCCAGGTCCCTTTGCAGAGTCCTTCTCCCCTCGAGTAGATCAACACTCCCACCCAACTTGGTGTCGTCTCCAAACTTATTGAGGGTGCTCTCAATCCCCTCGTCTAGATCACTGACAAAGATGTTAAACATAATTGTTCCCAATGCTGAGCCCTGGGGAATACCACTTGTGACTGGACTTAACTCCATTCAGCACCACCCTTTGGGCTCAGCTATCCAGACAGTTTTTTACCCAGCAAAAAATACTTCCTCTAGAAGCAGCCAGTTTCTCCAGGAGAATGCTGTGGAAAATGGTGTCAAAGGCTCTACTAAAGTCCAGGTACACCACATGCACAGCCTTTCCCTCGTCCACTAATCAGGTCACCTTGTCATAGAAGCAGATCAGGTTAGTCAAGCAGGACCTGCCTTTCATAAACCCATGTGGACTGGGCCTGATCACCTGTTTGTCCTGTACGTGCCATGTGATGGTGCTCAAGGTGATCTGCTCCATGACCTTCCCCAGCACCGAGCTCAGACTGACAGGCCTGTAGTACCCCGGATCCTCCCTTCGGCCCTTCTTGTAGATGGGCATCACATTTGCTCACCTCCAGTCAACTGGGACCAACTTGGCTAGCCGGTACTGATGATAAATGATGGCAAGTGGCTTTGTGTGGACTTCTGCCAGCTCACTCAGTACCCCTGGCTGAATCCCATCCAGCGCCATAGGCTTGTGTGTGTCTAAGTGGTATAGTGGGTCACTAACCATTCCCCTTGGATTACGGGGAATTCATTCTGCTCCCCATCCCCGTCTTCCAGCTCAGGGGGCTGGGTAGCCAGACAACAACTGGTCTTACTATTACAGACTGAGGCAAATAAGGCATTAAGTCCCTCAGCCTTTTCCTCATCTTTTGTCACTATGTTTCCCCCCGCATCTAATAAAAGATGGAGAGTCTCCTTAGCCCTCCTTTTGTTGCTAATATATTTAGGGAAATGTTTTTTACTGTCTTTTACAGCAGAGGTCAGATTAAGTTCTAATTGGGCTTTTGCCTTTCTAATTTTCTCCCTGCATAACCTCACAATATCCTTGTAGTTCTCCTAGTTGCCTGCACCTTCTTCCAAAGGTCATAAACTCTGCTCTTTTTTGCCGAGTTCCAGCCAAAGCTCTCTGTTCAGCCAGGCTGATCTTCTCTGCTGGCTCATCTTTCAGCACATGGGGACGGCCTGCTTCTGTGCCTTTAAGATTTCCTTCTTGAAGAACGCCCAGCCTTCCTGGACTCCTCTGCCCTTCAGGACTGCCTCCCAAGGGACTCTGTCAACCAGGCTCCTAAACAGGCCAAAGTCTGCTCTCAGGAAATCCAGGGTGTCAGTTCTGCTGACACCCCTCCTTACTTCTCCAAGAATTGAAAACTCTATCATTTCATGATGACTATGTCCAAGCCTCCAACCATCACATCACCGACAAGTCCTGCTCTGGTTGCAAACAACAGGCCCAGCCCAGGGCTCACTCACCAGCTGTGGCAGGAAGTTATCTTCCACACACTCCTGGAAGCTCCTAGATGGCTTCCTCTCTACTGTATTGTTTTTCCAGCAGACATCTGGTAAGTTGAAATCCCCCACGAGAACAAGGGCTAGCGATTGCGAGACTTCTCTCAGCTGCTTATAGACTATTTTGTCTGCCTCTTCATTCTGGTTGGGTGGTCTGTAACAGACTCCCACCATGATATCTGCCTTGTTGGCCTTTCCCTGGATTCTTACCCATGAACACTTGACCATATCATCACCATTGTTAAGCTCTAGGCAGTCAAAACACTCCTTAACAAACCTCACCGCCTCTCCCTTCTTGCCTACCTCCGCCTGAAGAGTTTATAGCCATCCATTACAGCACTCCACTTATGCCAGTCATCCCACCACGATGGCAAATACATCATAGTTTTCCAGATGCACAATGGCTTCCATCTCCTCCTGGCTGTTGCCTGTGCTGCGTGCATTGGTGTAGATGCACTGCAGCTGGGCTATTGATAATGCCACCTTTTGGGGAAAAGAAGCCCTAATTCCTGCATGACCATTCTCAGATGCTTCCGTGTTTTCTAACACATCCATAACGCTTGCATCTTTTCTGCCACATGGACCTCCATCCCATACTTCCACTGAGATGGCAGACCAAAGGACCTCACCAGCACACCATTCCTCAAACATTGGTGTGCTACCCCAGGCTTATCTCTAGCAAGTTTTATCCCTTTCCCCCTTCAAATCTAGTTTAAAGTTCTTTCACTGAGCCCTGCTAACTGCTGGGCAAAGATCCTTTTCTCCCTTTGAGACAGGTGTACCCTGTCTGTCTCCAGCAGGCCTGATGTCATGAAGACTGACCCATGATCAAAAAATCCCAAATTCTGCCAGTGAGACCAGGCTCAGAGCCATGTATTGATCTGCTGGCTCTTCCTGTTTCTTCCCTCATCATTCCCTGCAATTGGAAGGATAAAGGAGAGCACTACTTGTGCTCCTGTTCTCTTAACCAGTTGTCCCAAGGTCCTGAAGTCTCTCTTGAGTGCCCTCGGACCTCTTGTTGCCACTTCATCACTGCCTACCTGAAAAATAAATAATGGATAATAATCTGAGGGTCATAGCAGGGTAGGAAGCCTTCTCTTCACATCTTTAACCTGGGCCCCAGGGATACAGCAGACTTCCCTAAGAAGTCGGTCCAGTCTGCATATTGGGCTGCCTTCTTCCATCTTTCCTGACAGTGACATGTCTTTTTTTTTTTTTTCTTTACGGAAGCAGTTTTGATGCAGGGCATAGGCCAACTTAGCCTCGGTGACACCTCCAAGCTAGATGAACCATCATCCTTGTTATTGTTCAGTTCCACTGGCAGTGCTTCACACCTATTCTGCAAGGGCACCTGGGTAGGTGGGGCAGTCACAGAGGACAAGCGCCCACTGTGCTGGGCAGGAACTTGTCGCCATTGCTGCTCATCCCTTAGGTCACTGTGGTCAGCCAGGCAGAGAGAGGAGAGGGAAACCTCTGTGCCATGCGTTCTGTCTGCCTGTTGGGCCTGCCTCAGGGAAGGTCGAGTGTGATTCCAGCAGTCTATTAATGCTTATTAAGGCACAAGTATCGCTCTTCAAGACTAACAAAAAAAAACCTAAGCAAACTTAAAGCAGGAAGAAGAAACAAGTTGCCTTCAAAACCTAACTGAAAAGAGTACATATTTAACTGGAAAAAATAAGTGCTTGTCATGTCAGTTAGATTTTATGTCACACACCACATATCATTATGGGGTTTTTTTTGTAATCTGGTAACATAAAAGAGGAAATTTAAAAGGTATTTACAATATTTGTTTAAAAAAAATCCACCCTGTTAACATCACCCTTCTCTGAAGCTTAATACTTGTAATTTCACTCCATATCTAAATTACTGTAATCATCTTCCACTAATAACGGCTCCTCAAAGAGTCAACTGTATTAGGAACTTCTTACAGTGGAAATCACTGTCGTGGGCTTACAGACCCATAGATACATATGAATCGTTTTGTGAAGATTACGGCTGCCTTTAGAACATAGTGTTTGGAAAGAAGGATGCATATTAATTAGATGGTTTTATACAAAAGTGTTTGTCTAGGCCGCTGGCTCCCAAACATAAAGCAACTGGTAATCCCTTACTAAAGAATGATTTCCCTAAATTATTATTAGGGGCTGATTTTATTCTAAGGTAAACATCAAAACATATTTCACAAAACTAAACTCTTGTTTTGCTATTCAATTATCTGCATTTCTCCTATTACAACAGAAAAACAGACAGCAAAAAAAGAATTAACCAATACTTTTGTAGCAAAGCTGGCAAAATGCCAGGGATTCACCGGGATCAACTCCCAGCAAGAGGTAAGATTATAAGAGCTAGGAAGCAGATAATGTTAAAGGCCCTCCTGGATCAGAGCAAAGAGCCATCTAGCTTGTTATCCCCAAAAGGGAGCAGAAGCAGACATTTAGAGAAAGCATGTACAAAATGGGGCATGGCTCTGTAATCTATGTAGTCAGGTTAGCAATTTGTTGGTTGTGAAGATGCAGAAAATCATCTTGCTTATCAGTAATCAACTGCCTTAAGTTTCAGGAAAGCATCCAAATCCTTTCTGATCCCCTTTACACTTCTGTTTTCCGTGACTTCTCATGACATGAGATTCACAACTTAAACATATAAAATACCTTTTTAAAAAAGAAAGAAAGAAAAAAAAAAGGTTCCTAGTTCTTCATTTGGGTAGTCCTTCAAAAAAGTCTTGTTCTTTTCGCTTCTCTTCATGATGGCCATAATCTCATAGATCAAAATCATCTCTACCCTCCACCAAGTTCTTCTTGTTAAAGTCCTAACGTATTTTCCCTCTTCTTACAGAGACTGTTCCACTAACGTCAGTCATTCTTGTCACCGTTTTCTCTCCCTTTTTAATGCCAGGTGCTCAGAACTGCAAACCGCCTCCATGACCACGAGGTACCGCGTCAGGACACTCCACGGTGGGTTCTCCATTCCCTCCTCGCTGACCTAGAAGCTAAGCTCTGAGCAGCCCGTTTCGGAAGCCCTTCACAGCCACCGCTCAGTGCTGCTCCTGAGTAGCAGTGGTTGAC